GAAATGTTAAAAAATGACTTGATATGGCAAAATAGCTTGAGCAAGTTTTTACGTTTTGATTGCGTAGACGAGCGAGGAGCGTTTCGGCTCAAGTTGGGATGAGGTGGATGAATGTGGTGGTTGATGTGATCAAAGGTTTTTAAGATGGTTTGTTCGATTGTCAATTTTTGATTTGAAAAGTCGTGTCAAACCATCTTTACCGAACAGTTGAATGGTGTTCAAAAGGTCAACGATGATCAAAATGATCTTTCGTTGACCTTTTTGGTCAACTGTTTGGTAAATGCAAAAAGCCAAAAACCAGCTTTTCATTTTGCCCCTTGCAAACGGGGCAAAATGAAAAGTCGCTTTTGTGTAACGACTTTTGGGAAAAACAGCCAAACGGGCCCTAACACTTTGAGGTTATGGTGCTAATCTCTGGTCTTTGGTTCAAGCCTGAATTTTGGTATTTTTGCCATTCTTTTTGTACGTTTATTTTGATGTTTGTCTGATGTGATGAAACAAAACAGTTAGCATAGTAACACTTGGTGTTGCAATGTTTTTTGTCTCCATTAAAATTGTTAGTGATCTTGACAAAAAAAAATCTGCAAAGTGTGAATAAAAAGGGAGCCAGGGACTTGACCACACAATCTCAACCTTGCAATGGGCAAGGTGTGTTGCTCTACCGCTACACTACCAGAGGATGAAAAGAATAGGGGGCTCAAAGTCATTGGTCGTCAGTTTATGATCTCACCATATGTATTTTGTTTGATCTGGCAGGTAAGTTTGACACCTGTCACAACTTTACTGCCAGGCGCACGGACCATCTGTTGATTTCGAAAACTTCTCGATTTCAACCTTTATGAAATCTACTGTATCTATTCATGACAGCTCTTGGCAGCTTCAAGCCAAAAAGTCAACTGGGTGTACCAGGTTTTTGTGTAAATGGGTTAGGTTTGAATAAGGCTATTGTGATGTTTATCTTTCATTTGTACATACAGCTGTTCTCAAAATTTGTGTCATGGTTGCAATTGTTTTTCCTCCAAATACAGCCAATACAGGCTTGCATAGGTAGTGTAAAAGCCGGATGTGTGATCACTGGTTAACCCAGACCAATTGGCATTTTTCTTCAAGAATCATGGTTTACTACAAGATGCAAACTGTGAAATACAAATCCAACCAATCAAAGGATTTTATCAAATCTTTTTGTGGATTTACAAAATCAAATGCAAAGTTAACACACAACATGGCAAAAAGCAAAAGGTCTGACTCCAATCTTTCTAGGATTAGCTGTAATTGACCTCCATCAAATTCAATCACTTTTTTACTTAACCCCAAACCCTTTTGACAGTGTGATTTTATCTACTTCACACTTCTCTTTTTCCATCACTTGGGCCTTTCCCCTATTCTCAGCTCCACTCTTTTACTTTGCTCTATTGTTTCATAATGTTCATTGTTTTTTCTAGTGTTTACTTGTCTCCAACTCCTAGTCTTGTACTCATCATTTCTTTTGATTTCTGTTTTGTTTATTATATATTTCTAGGATCCCACTATCCCTTGCCCCCTCAAGAAGTATCCGGCGCCCCCTTTCGGACCCGACAGGGGGCGACGACCCTTTCAGTAGTCCCATTTGAACAAAGGGGCTACTAAAAGGGGCTATGTATCAATCACAACTTTCTCAAGTTTTCGAGAAGTTGTCTTCTTCTTCGTTTGTATCGTATGGATAGATGTGTTGATGTGTTTCTCAATTCTCAATTGATGTAATTTACAAGTAAAGAAAATGAATCAGACCATTCAAATTTCCATTTGTTTTTGTATTTGCTTGCTTGGGCTCATCTCGCTCGCTACATAAATGAGACAAATGTCCAATCTCAAAAGAGACATGAGACACGTGCAATACATAGGAGGGCATAAGACAAGATCACAGATCACAAGATTGGCATAAGACAAGATCTCCTCCCAAAGACAGGAAGAGGCATGTAAAATAGTAAAACGCACAGGGGGCATAGCATAGGGGCAAAGTCACCATACAAAGAGAGTCGTGTATAGATATCAGAGGAAGGTGAAGAACACAACCAAGAAACAAGTAGACAAATAAAAAAGAAGAAAAAACAGACACAATAAACACATGTAAAAAGCTACTTGTCATCTCGATTAGCCCATAGGTCCATTTGGACTTGATACTTGCTAATCCAATCTGGAATAAGAGTCTTGGTGATGCTGGGCGAGAGGGAGTCCCCAAAGATTGCTGGAACAGGAATTTGATTTTTACCAGCCTTCAAAGCGACGAAATGTTCTCCGTTGACAAATGCAAGAATGACAGGTTCATTCTTGTTAGGTTGAGTTCAATATGGAAAGAATGAATAACAGTTGGAATTGACTGGATTGAACAGGATCACCGGGCACTCGTATGCACTGGCAATAACGTAGCCTAAGTAAGGCATAAGCATCCAGTATACCTCACTACATTTGGCCTGCTGGGGTCCAAGCCGGTGAAGCAAGTCATCAATGATTTCGGTGGCGGCATAAGGCCCAGTGGCTGCACGGCGAGTCTTCATTCCACAAGGCTTCATTCCAGGCAGAGTAGAGATCAGTTCCTCATGGATTTCCCGGTGTTTTTGCAGTTCATCATGCAGATGGCGACGGACAAGGACATATGAGTCCTCATTGTAACAAGCAAGTGCTTTGGCAATAGCGTAGTATCCACACTTTCCAAACGCCGGAGGATCAAAAACGGACTTGATGAAAGGCTGAACTACCCGAGGCAGTTGTTTCAAGAACTTAATTTCAGGAGTTTTGCCCAGAGCGCTACACCACGAACCCATCAAAACGGTTTTTTAACCATGGGCGCACTTCGGTTAAAAAACCGATTTCCTTGGGTTGGTGCCAAACCACTGTAAACATCATTCAACTTCCCCAATTTGGCAGAGGAAAATGATTAATAGTACAGTTTTTCATAAAAGAATCTAATACTGCACACCTGGGCCATTTCACCCACACTACATATGTGCAGCAAGCTAAGTCAATAGTTGTCTATCATGTACATACAGGTCTGCTCAGTTTTTTGCCCATCAGAATAAATAAATCACATGTTATACCACATGTAACTTTTTTGACTTTGAAATTTTTTTCCCAAAAATTCACTACATATAATTCTGTAGCTGCTCAGGCAATATTGTTGAAGCTATGTCTTAGTAACAGAAAGTGTGTTACATGCAGTTGAGTTGATGAGATCACACCAAAACATTGAGTCAGTGTATGTAGTCAATCTTTTGGAAGCTTTTTTCAATCTGAAAGAAGTTACAGCATGTATTACATATGAATAACTTGTCCTGATGAGCAGATAACTGAGCAGAACTGTATGTACATGATAACCACATATTCACTGAGCCTGCTACACATATGTAGTGTGGGTGTTATGGCTCAGGTGTGGAGTGATAGACCATTTTATGACAAATCATACTCCCAATCATTTTTCCCTGCCCACTTGGGGAACCCAAATAATGTCTGCAGTGAACGTTTCTCAAACACCTCCAGCCCGTTGTTTCCACAACGTTCCTTGCATATGCGGTTCAAATCCGGCTGTTAAACAGGTTTTTTTCCGTTTCTCAGATGAAAAGTGGCGCCAGGCTTTTTTTTTGGATTACAGAATCCGGCCTCAGATCTCACATTGACTGTCTCTAATAATTAGCAAAATGGTATTGAGAAGTATAACACTAATTGGATTGCACATGATAAGTCTAATTGCTACATATATATTAAGGACGGCACTATTTGGCAACCGCTTTTTTTGACCCGATGCCCGGAGTTCGGGTAATTTGTATTCATCGCCCTATTTGATTCAAACATTGCCCGGTTTGATTTGAAATTGCGCCGGCTCAGCAAACATTGTGTTTGACCAAATGAATTGACTGATTTTCTTGCTCACAAGAGCTCACTAGTCAATTGATGAAGTCAATCACCGAGTGACTCCCTTTCTCAACCCTTGACTGACACCTTGACTGGCTCACTCACAAGATCCCTTTATCAGATACAACAGATCGATCGTTTTTTTATTTGATCTCAAAAACAAACAAACAAAAAAAGCGAAGATAAAACAAACGAGTGACAAGTGTGATAGAGTATTAGGGTCAGAAATGTGAGAAAATTTACACACACAAGAACAAATCAATCATTGATACAAAGATGAAAATCACACAAAAAAACATGATCATTTTTGTTCATTGATCCACCTATGCAATTGATCTTGATTTCTCTCGATCCAAGTCAGTATCTTGGTGCTATCAATCATTGCTGCGTAACGGTGCTTGCCAAAAACTTCCGGAAATGTCAGAGATTGAGATTCTTTGAATCCCAAGCTCATGAAATGATTTTGTTGATAAAAGCTAGTACAATCGGATCTTGATTGTTCTCATCGGGTAAGGTGTGATAAGAGAAAAATGTATTACAGGTTGATGTCCGCGGATCCAACAATATAGTCGTGGATTGTCAGTTAGTTTGCCAGCGAGTTATCAACAGTTTTGCAAAGTGTTAGGAGAGGGTTGAAGTGCGCAATGAGGTGGTAGCCCGGTTTGAATGTGATCGGAGGTGATGTGATAGCCCGGTTTCCCATGATGAAGTGCCCTATTTCCAATGTTGAAGCTGGGAAGTTATTTGATGCCCGGATTTGCTGCGGCTGCGGCCAAATTTGGCAGAGTCAGGTCCGGGTTTGCGAGAAAACCACGGATATGTACCCAAAAACCACCGGGCATCGGGTCGAAAAAAGCGGTCGCCAAATAGTGCTGTCCATATATTAATAGTGTACCCAATAGAGAAAAATACAAATGGAATTAAGATACGATAATGAAAGTATGGAACTAGGCGGAAATATTTGTGATAAAAGATGCTGTTGGATATTCTGGACGATCTCTGCATTTACACAAATAGGTGATAGATGAGAAAAAGATAACAAACATAAAAATGTAATGATATGAAACAAAAAAAGAAACTTCTCTTCCACTTATTGTAGTTTCCTCAGGCGCATCCTAATTTTTGTGGAGCACCTCATCTTCGCCCATATCATCCCCAAACTTAAGTTCCATTGTGTTGATCTCCTCTTGAATACGCTCTTCAGATGGTAAGGAAAAATCGATTTTCTTCTTTGTGAGGTAGTCAAAGTTATGTTTCCCGTTGAAGCGATCATAGTCATCGTACATGACCAAGACAAAGAAACTATGAAATAAACCAAGTCAGTTCATATTGTAAATGAATTCATGGTATGAATGAAGAATACGTACACATATCGATATCGTGTTGACTGACCACGTAAAGACTCTAGCTTTTGATCCACGACACTCCAATACGATTGACTACCGTATTCGGAACTCTTCACTCCCCAATGAACAGCTTGCATTCTCTAACAAATAGAACACCACAGATCAGAATAATCAGAATAAGATTTATGTCCAGATTAGTAAGTTACGAAGTCATACCAGGTAAGCATATCGGGTTTTGCAAAGGTGTTGCACATTTCGGAGTATCTCTTCACGAACTTGCACTCGGCCACCAATCTGACTTTTTTCCTTCTCGTGAAGCTGTTGGTCTCAAAGATTGTCAGTCGAAGCCTGTGAGACTGTCAATGGATGAACCAACAAGATCAACTCACTTTGACAATTATGGTGTTGATGTTTGGGACGTTGCCACTACAGTCTGAAGATTTGACTCGTTGTGGGAGGTGAATCTCGCTGAGAAGCTGGATAGTTTGTCAGCAGCCAGGAATTTGTCAAGCAAGAATGGAATGGAAAGGAAGTACAATAGTTTCAAATTCCTTTCGGGTCTGCTTTAAAATATTACTCAAAAGCTTCTGCATGGCTTTGGTGGCTTTAGGATTTGGGTTTTTTCCATAACCGGCTGGAAGAAGTCGTTTTTTCCACTCGGTAGGATTGGATAGAATAGCACTCTATCAAAGAGCTCAGCAAATGGTTGAAATAAGAAGATACAGTCGAATCAGAAATATACCAACTCACATGCATCACCTTAGCATGTAAGCATAATGGAAGGTTGTCCTCATCACCTTCTCTGTTACTGGTGGCAGTATACGCTTGTACATCACCATCCATGATACACTGAACGGATAGAGATTTGACACATTGCTATGCAAAAAGAAAGATGTGTCAGAGGTGGTTGAAGATGAAAGAAGAAATAAAAGAAGAACACGTCAACGGAAAAACTTGCTTTCAGTTCGGATGATTCATCCCAGCCACCTCCACTGGAGGAAAGGGCAGTCGAGATGCGTTCATTGATCTCTTCAATCTTGCTAAAGATCTTCTCGTGATTTGACATCATGTCTTGACGGACAGTCAGTATAGCGGCGGTAAGTGCATGGAAGAAGCTGGTTTTTGAGAAGATGCTGGGGTAACACGAGAAGGCTGGGCTGCTGGAGGATCTTGACCTGCTTGACTCTGCAGACGTCGACCCATTGTCGGACGAGACACCTGTTGAACTTCTTCGGGGCTGGCCTGTGTACTTGCTTTTGCGGGAGGACGAGCATACGGTTGGTATCGAGCGACCCGAGACATGTTTCTGGAAGTAAAGTGAGTGCAGTGGGAAGATATGAGAATATGAACAGGTGAGAGGAAGTGAACGGTCAAGAGGGTATGATGACTGAGAAGGTGAGAGGAAGTGAATGGTCAAGAAGGAGACCTGTGAAAGCAGCTGGTTTCTGTGAAATCTGGATGTGAAACCTCAATACGGTCCCCACCGAAAAATACCGACACACATCACTCACTCCTCTCGCATTCTTTTGGTGTTTTGAACTCAACAAACCTTTGCAAAGACCGTATGAGTAATAAAGGTAAGATACATGGACATGTTGTAATTTCAAGGTAGTATATAAATTATCGTGCAGAAATGTAAAAAATTGATAAGAAAAGATAAATACAAAATCGAGATACCATTCACAAATTGAATGATGATGGCCCAGCCACCGGCCCATCATCATTATCCTGCGTCTGCAACTGTGACTGCTTTGGTTTTGTGATCTTCCTTTTTTTAGCAGCTGGGATACCTGTTTGTCCAGCTAGCGCTTTCTCAATCTCTTTTTGACGTTTCTTTTCTTTTATTTCGTCTTTCTTCTTGAGTGCTTCCTTCCAATTGTTGATTCCTTTTTTCACAGATGAAATCCAATCTTCAGGAGTTACCTCCTTGTGGGGGATCTCAGCCCATCCACGGTGAAGTTCAGCATTATAAAAGGCGCCTGAATTCAATATGAAATCACCCGTTTGAATATGTACCACTTCGTAATCCAAGTTCTTTGATATACGCCGTTCGACAATTACTGACCGTGTTTTTTGAACGCTGCACCGACCTCCATGGCGATTGTGTTGAACGTTCAAGACTGCTTTAACGTCCTGGACGTTCAACACATTGTTAGTTGTAGAACCAGTGTTTAGAATTGAAATTATACTAACTGTAATGTTAATCCACACAGGCCGATTTGTTTCCTGGATTTCCCGCATGTTATAAAACTTGTTTACATCACCCAATTGGCAATCAACCGCCTCAATCTTGGTGTGTGATAAAGTGCGTCCGCCAACACCCCAAATCCTTTTGACACGTGCAATTCTTCTTCCAGTTTCCGTGTGAGCATTATCGACTGACACAAAAACACCAGCAGATACCTTTTGTCCATCTTTCAATTTAATATCCTCAATAACTTTCCAATCTTCGGCTGCAAAGGAATCACATATCCTTGTTGGTATCATGTTTTGTGGATCATCCGGTTGTATTTTTTGAAGCCCTAGATCAAAAAAAATCTCAATTCAATACATTTCAAGATATAATGAAAGTCAATTTCCTCACTTCCTATCTTTATTTGCACGTGTTGATCCCACAATGAATTGTAACCTAAAGCTTTCTGAAATAATCGATTATTACAAAATATATCTTGAATTTTTTGGCTTGCTTGTAAATAAGTTTGTTGCTTATAGTCATAAACTCTTGCTGCAGTTACTACTCGCATAAGTTGATGATTATTGAAGGAAGTTGCAATATCCTTACTCGGAATTAGATGATTTGACATTATCGACGAGTGCCTTGTATTTCCATTATAGCCTTCAAAGTTTTATGTAGCAAAAAGAACCGCAGGCCCATAAGTCCGGATAGAGTCACAGAGATGAATTAACATGTGAAATTTGGGCTTATTGCACCACTGAGCCAAGAGTTGAACTATGGAATTTAAAAAAATTTGAATAAGTCGATCAAGTTCCACGATGTATGCCTCCATGTCGTTAATCTCAGTCTGGAAGATGTATGGTGCCAGATTAGAGAGTGCAGTCCATGCTGCACGTTCGTCTTCTGATAAATCACAGCATTCAAAAAAAATAAAAGGTGCACATTGAAGTACCACTCGAAATTCTTTGCCAGTAAGACTGAGGCAGTGTTGGATCATCGTCTTGGGTTGGATGTTTGGGATGTTTAGGCCGGATTTGTTGAAAGACCTCCAACGACCGCAGATATTTTTCTTTTCGGAGGCAGTTGCAGACTGCATTTGATGGCGTAACAGGTATTTGGCAACACCTAATAAGATTACATGTAACACTTCGACCGGGGTGTTTCGATGACCATCAAATCCTGAAAACAGTCAGGTATCAAGTCAGCATAAAGATATCACAAGCTCGGGACATGGAAAAAGCAAACCTTTTAAACGGAGGAATGGATTAAATAACCGATCTCCAAAGTGTGTGTTCAACTCGTCGAATAGCTCTGCAACTTGTTCATTGGAAACTGACACATCCCAATGCATTTCTTGAAGTCTTTTGACAAAAGGCACGTTATTGGTATCTCGCACACCCCACAAAGCGGATTTAGTGTCGAAGAGCGTAATTGATACTGGCAGTTTCGAGAGCGTCCAGAGGTCTTTGCTGCCTTTGATGGTTTCCCACCATTCACGTGTTGGTAGAGATAACTAAGAAAGGACAAACAGACGGATCAGATAATATACACGTTGCATCAACGCCTGAAGCGTCCCGCCGCAAAAAGCGGAAGGGGAGCGCAAGCGGGGCGGTACGCCCCGCCCGCGCTACCGGGTCTCTGATGTAGTGGGTATCCGCGCCCCGCCTGCGCTTCCCTTTGAAAATTTTTCATGTAGGGGAGCGCAAATGTGTTGGGGCGGTAGGACATACCGCCACGCTGCAGGATGTCAGATCTTGCATGTAGCGGGTCAGTACCAACTACGTCAAAGGAACTGACATCCGAGATTTCCTTTCAGATATCGTCGGATATCTGATATCAGACCACAAAGGAAGGCCTTTCGAAGCCCTTCCCTCCACCACCACCTGCGTATAACGCCATTCGACGCACTCAATCTCTCCTTCACTTCGATTCAAGCCCTCTTATAGTAAGTTCAATCCCTTCCATCGCTTCCAATAGCCTCTTTCTCTGGCCAACGGTCTCAAGGAGAACATTACCTTCTGTCCCGCTTCATCAACCCCAAGGAATTCACAGACATATTTTGTCGATTTCTTTTGAACCAGCTTGTCGACCTTCAGATGACAAATACGACAGGGAGACAGAGAAGTTGTTGGATTCATGGTACTAGTCACCTCTGCATGCATTGGTGAATCCCCTAAATGACATATGACACATGTCATAATCATAACTTCTGCGTCAATCTTTGCATCATACGTAACGAAACCTTCTGTCACTACGCCAAATTTAAAATTTACCGCTGAGTTTAGAAAATTAAGCAGACATAGAAAATTATGGAAAAGCTGGGAGGGGTCAGAAAAATATGAAAAAAATTTGGTTGGGCCCTTTGGTGCATTCCAATCATCTGGCATATTTTTACATATTTTTACAACCACAATGCAAATAATTTCAGAAACCCAATTTTGGTCCAAAACTGGCAGGTAGAGACACAGTGACCTTGCAACACCAACAAAATCATCAATTTTGCTCCAAAACATGTAGTGTCTTGACATTCTGAATGCCACTCTGGCTCTACAGCTTGGGTGCACAAAAAAGTTGTGTGTCTCCAAGAATGGGTGAGATATATCAAGAGATGTACACAGCAGGAACCATATATAAGCATAGAAGCCATTACTACAATGGCTTCAGCACCTTAATAAACCTTGTAGAGCCATCATGTGGCTTCCATAAATTGCAAGTGTTCAGATGATTGAACAAAAATACTCATATCTTTGTGCTTGGAGGTTTTTGCCCAAATATTGCTAGTTTTGGACCAAATTTGAGTTTCTGACATAATATCCCCTGTGAGCATTTTGCTTTGGGAAGACTTCAAAAATCATGGCAAAAATATGCAAAAATATGCAAAATTAGGGGACAGCACCCATGAATGGAATCATTATTTTTTCAAATTTTTCTGACCTCTCCTGTATTGGTGATATTTTTCTACAGTTTCAATTTTCTAAACTCAGTGGTAAATTAGTGATCTGGCGTAGTGTGTACCTAGAGAGCTGTTACCACTTGTCAGAAAGATGTTATTAGGATTACTCGACTTTGAAACTTACTTAAGCTCATCAATCAATGGATCGGCCAACTCCAATGCACCGGCAGTATTTGAGGTCGTCAGGAAATGGCAATTGTATTCCTGATTTGCGAGTTTTGGAGGAAGTCCTGCCAAAGTACAGTAGAACGCCATATGCTTATTCCACCGCTTCGAAATATTCCCTGAAAGGTCATCACAGTACAACACCAAAGGAACGTGGCGAATTATTTTTCCATTGGCCTTTTTGCGCCAGGGATTGTAAAGTGGAACTTCGCTGAAGTGACCGCAAGTGCCTGATGCTACATAACGTAACACAGTGAAAGATTAATCAATGAAATAAAATAGATAATCCATGGTAATAATAGCCACATACCATACATCACGTCCTTGCAGCGATCTTTCATTAACAAATCTTTATGTAATTCTATTTGATCAAAACATTTCCAGAATTCATCAACATTGATTGTTGATAACCGGTCACAGTCAAAACTCAAGACCGGGTTGAATTCAATTCAAATGTTTGAAGGTGCTTGTTTGCCTTGCTTCTGGATCTTTGCAAACACACACTTTGTAAAGATACGAGACCCCGAACGGAAAAAATATAATGGTATGATAATCTTTTTGGATCGCAGTTGGACCGGTTCAAATAGATAAAAATGCCCATTAGGCCTGTCAATCATCTGTACTCTGATGTCGGGATCGAGTTGTTCTCTCCACTTTTTTGATTGAGAAAGGCGGTCGATAGTTGAGGATGAATTCGGAAGTTCTGGAATCGTCTCAAGGTAATCCCTGACATAGGGATTGGCAAGTTCCTAAATGAAACAAATTGTGTCAGTCAAGTTTGATTTGTATGGTTTAATGACAACATACTCACCTGTCTTAAGATATCCTTGACTCGAAGCCCGAAACATGGTTTGGCCAATGGGCTCAAACTCTCGTAAACCTTCATGTCATATTTATGTTGAAGTCTTTTGCGAAGCCTCTGTAAGGTCTTATATGCAGGGAGCTTAATATTGAGAAGTCCGACAAATGAGCGTATGCGCTCATAGCCCAACTGAGACAGTGTTGTGCGTGTTGAACCTAGGATCAACAGACCGACAAATTGCTATAGATGAAGGAATCAATCAGTGGGAATAAAATGAAACATCTAGCCAATAAAATAAGCTGATAAATACCTCTAAACTGGAAAAGGGTGCCCAAGAGGAGTCATCCTCTTCCTCGGGGGCCTGCAAATGAGTTTCGTCGCCTTCTGATTGATTATCTTCATTGTCAGAGTCTGACTCGATGGATC